GATAGGAGGGAGGATGAAAGGCATAAGAGAGAAGGAGATAGGAGGGAGGATGAAAGGCATAAGAGAGAAGGAGATAAGAGGGAGAATGAAAGGCACAAGAGAGAAGGAGAGAGAAGGAGAGAGAAGAAGAGAGGAGATGGAAGGACAGAGAAGGAGAGAGGAGGTAAGGATGAGGAGAGGTGGGGGCGGTGGAGAGAGGGGAGAAAAGAATGGTCTATCATTAAGAACTAACCTTGTACCTGTCTGAACGCACATCTTTTGAAACAAAATAACATACACTTTCCGTGATCCTCTTGTGGGTTGTACCACTCATACTCTCCACCATCGATTCAAGCCTTCCCTGACATCAAAAATTACAGATTGAACAACGAAGGGAAGCCGCAGAAACGTCATAAGCTTAAAGACAAGGGACACACTCCCTTCAGAGAGCTGAAGCTGCCTGTCAACTTGTTAACTCGATACCAAATTTGTAGACAAAAGCAAGCGAAAGAAGTACGCAATCCAGCTAAGCTGATCTTTTGCAGACCAGCTTCTCTTAAGGACTTCAACGTGCTCCTAACATATTATTGCGCAATATGCGTAATATGAGTAATATGCATATCAATGCAAATATTTAATATTCCCATCTTTCTAACCAGTGGACTCTGTCATCCGTCATTTCCGATATCCTCATTTTCCAAGAACTGTAAACTGTAAGCACATGACAAGAAAAAGAAGACATACAATGCAGCTATAAGTGATGCCCCTCCAGACCAGCGGCACCAGCCTGTCCTCCCAAACCCTCCTATGCTATCCCTGACCCTGGGTGCATCTGACCGTACCCTGCATCCAACTCCCTCGCTCTCCAGGGGGGGGGGCGGGGGGGGGGGGGCAAAAGAGAAAGCGGAAACCGTTGGGAGCCTCCCGCAACCGGAGGTAGCCGACGTGAAGGTGCAGGACAGGATGTGGAGCACGACCTAGCACAAGGGTTGGAACCGAACCTGAGACCTGGGACAGGAATTGGGACAAGGGGGCCAGAAGAGGAAGAAGCACACGTTGAGAGCCTACTGCAACGGGAGGAAGCCAAGGTGGACGGATGAACGGGTGCGAAAGGAACTTGAGTATTACATGGCACAGGGGTTGGAATCGAACCAGGGACCCATGGCAAGCATCCAGAACAAGGGGCCCAGCAGAGGAAGCAGGACACCTTGGGGCCCTGCTGCAACGGGAGGTAGGTCAGGTGGAGCGGGTGGGAGAGGAAGGAAGAGGAACATTACCGGGCACAGGGATTGGAACCGAACCTCAGATGCGTGGCAGGAATCGAGAGCGGCGGGCCAGGAGAGGAAGCGGAAAACATCCGCAGCGTCATGCAGCAGGAGGTAGGTCAGGTGGAGGCGGTGGGAGAGGACGAGGAGCATTACCGCGCACAGAGGGATTGCAATGGAAATTGAGACCCGAATCTGGGATCGGGATAGAAACCGGGACATGATCCAATACAGTTCGTGGAACAGGGATAGGTAGAGGAATTGCGAGACTTGGGGCAGAAGATGGGTTAGAAACTGGGTGAGGATCGGACGCTGCCACAGCTGCGGCATTATTCCCCCAAACATCACTCCCAGGAGTGAGATTTGAGTTTGGCTGCGAAGGGTCCTTAAAACCCTGAGCGGTCGGCACATCAAAATATTACTCCCCGGACAGATTTTATTTGTTTACTCAAATTTGGCTTTGAATTTTGAGTCAGCGCTGGCAACAAAGTTGTTTGTATCGCAATGCTGCATAATATATTATACTACTTTTCACAAAATTCTGGACTTTTGGGGGGGCAAGCTTCGTCCCTTCCCAGACATAACTCCAGAATACAACTCCCTGGCTCGGATGCCAAGCCCAGTTGCCCAGGCTGCCTCTGCCTACCCAGATGGCTCAGATCGGGCAAGGCTCTGGACAAGGTCCCAGGCCAGGTTCCACACAGCCCAAAAAAGCCTGAATCGAAAAAAAAAAAAAAAAAGGAAAAGCAAATAAAAAAGTTGTGAAAAATAGGTGATGTGTAAAAAATTACTAAAATGCAATACAAAGTTTCAAACAACTTTTCGCTAATGCTCAGCTCATAAATCCCTACTAAAACAAAGATTGAAAGGAAAAACAATGCCCCACCCCTTTTAAAGCCCTTTAAAGTTTAAACCTCATTTATACTCCCCTTCTCCACCTCCTGCCAACCGGCAACACTGAAAAACAAAAACAAGCCCACACTCCAGTTGATCCTGGTGGGCACAGAAATGCCCCACCAGCAATCCAAAAAAAAAAAAAAAAAAAAAAAAAAAAACAGGTCTTTTGACCTGCCCAGGGCGACCTGGACGGGCCAGGCGCCCACGTAAACTAGCTACCCCTTTTTTTTCTTCTTTTTTCCTTTTTTTTAGAGCTCTAAATTAACAAAACTCTGCCCAGAAAAGTTTCACTTAGATAAAACATCCAGAAGTATTGGGCCTCGCTCCACTACTCACCACATGCACAAAAGACAAAAAAATATGCCCGTGTATCTTTCCATATTCTAGCGGAAGATTCATTCTAATTTTGAACATTTGGTGAGTAGTGGCGCGAGGCCCATTATCTGTAACTCCTGGGAAAAAGGCAGTTCACGGTGAGGTTGAAGATGGAAGGATAATTCACACACCTGGTAGTCACACCCCACTGTCTCATGGCCATACCAAACCCTACTCATTTGTGTATTGCACGCCACACCCATGAATACATATTTATATATCGTCGTAGAGAACTGCCCAGTGAACCGTAGGCAGAGAGGGAGAAAAGGACAACAAACGAGGTGTTGAGACAGACTTTCGTCCAAGTTTCACCGCCTCATCAGGAGGCAATGTATGCATCAAACCATCAATTGCTCATCGCCGCATGCTTTAAACCACCAGTACACCCAAGCCTGGCGGACTCACACTGTTGCATACTAGTGAAAGTGAACACAAGTATGATGCAGAACCTAGAACCGGCCATTACAAAGACCAATATAATGCAGCGGAAGACTTGAAAACATGGATCTGTCTCACATCTGACTCGGACTATACACAGGCTCACACACATACATTCATTGGGTGAGAAGGCCTGGCGCTCAAACATAGAAGATGCGCGAGGGCCTGTACACAACACACACGGACGAATGTAGGGGGAAGAGACGAAGGGAGGAGGAGGAGATGGCGCCAACACAAAGTCACCGAAATAGTAATCCAAAATGTCGGAGATACAGAATTCTCGGAATGTCGAAGTTACAGAATCTTGAAGTGCCGTTGGTAACAGATCTCCAAACAGTCCTCCCAACACCCTACTCTGAAATAGTCTCAGTCTTGATGTCACCGATATCTCACCATCGATCTCTGTCCCATAGTAACCAAGAAGGTGGAAGGTTAGGAGAAGAAGAAGAAGAAGAAGAACCGAGAGGGTCAGAGGAGAAGGTGGAGATTGACAGGTGGCGGAGGAAGATCCTCCTGCCCTGATCCAGTGTCCATGCACCAACCTGCAGGTGCAAGGTGCCGCCTTGGAGCTCCTGAAGACTCGCCCTTGCTGCTGGGGCTATGGCGCTCACAGGTAAGCGCCAGGTAAGTCACTACTCTCTCTCTCTCTCTCTCTCTCTCTCTCTCTCTCTCTCTCTCTCTCTCTCTCTCTCTCTCTCTCTCTCCTCTACAGCTAGCGCTAAACCCAGCGCTGCTGCCTGGAGCTGCGCTAACCAAAATAGCGCAGTGCTGCTTCCTCAATGCCGCGCCTCCGAGTCTGTCCCGAACAGACCGCTGGCCGGTCCCAAGTACCGGCGGTGGCCTGTTCGGCCTGGCTGCTGGTGAAGTCGCACCGTGATCTGGACCGTTCCAATCAATTGGGGGTTCAGATCAGACCCGCAGGAAGTGGCAGCCTCAATCCTCGGCCGCCAGGCTCAAACGAAAAATGTTTGGGCCAGTTTCCCGCTCAGGGCCTGCAGTTGCAGGCTCGGGTCTAAAACCGGTTTGCTGGGGCCTACCGTCGGCCTTTCCAAAGCTCCGGCCTTTAACCCAGGCCGGACTGGCCCAGCATGGCCACGGTCTGGGATAACCTCCTAGACCTAGCCGCCGGGCCTAACAGGGCCCGTGTGGAATCCAGTATGTAACGCACACTGTGCAACAAGCTTTGCTGAGCCGCCAGCGGTACAGTTTTTACTTTTTTTGGCTGGCGCCCGCCACCCATTGTGGTCTGGTAGCCCCGAGCCTCCAAAATTTTAGGAGCGAGCCATTCGTCTTCTCAATTTGCCTGGGGTCGTGCACTGGCCATTTACCTCTCACATCAGACCCAGAAAAGACATGCTTTTATAGAGTAGATAGAAAACTCAAAGTTGCAAATGAATTTTACGCCAGCATATACAATGGACGAGCATCAACACGTTGAATGTGGAAATGGATTTCACAGCACATCTCACAGCGGACAAGCAGCTTTTACCTTTTCCTCTATATCTACTCCAGTGACCAGCACGCCAACTCCTTCCATGCATAGACAACAGACTGGTCTGTTACTCTTCGGCAGCGGTTTCCGGTCTCTAATGCAGTGATGAACGCACTCCACGCCTGTGGAGAAGAACGATCCCAACACACACAAAAAAAAAACAAAAAACAATCAAGCAAGGCACCCACCAAGGAGGAACCAACAGACCCCAAAACAACCAAAACACACAAGCATCAAAGAGACAGACTAACACAGTTCTGGCTGCTACGGGATTCCCCGTATGCCTACAATTAGGAGTATTGGTACAATTAGGGGTAGTGTGAGGTGAAATTGAGAGAAGAATGTAGCTTTAACCAAAAAAAAACAAAAAAAAGGCACAAATCAGGGATCCGGGCTATATTTTTGGACCATTTCTTGATTTATGCGTATCATCCTTGTGCAGGGGCCATGCTAATCTTCTCTCTATTGTTCCAAATGTCCCAAAGGACGAAAGGAACAAGATTGAAGCTGACAGTTAAAGAGTTACTCCCACCATTCTTTGTCTTGGGACATGGGCACGTGGAAGCCTTGCGTCTAACAGCACAATCGCCAGAAGGTGGATTAGGTGCCCAAGGAGTAGCAGATGGGTAACAGAGGCCTGAATTTTTTCAGACAATTTGTCACGCCTTTGTGACAAAACCCAAAGCCCATTTTAACCAACCTTGCCACCAATTCATAGAGTGGACACCATATTAAACCACCAGTACCTTACCCCGCTTGAAATCTCCGACGCGCCGGGTAACGCAGGGAGGTCAGGGACCCTGCTTGACAAACGCCCGATCGCTGGGACTCAAAAAAGGAACAAAAAAAGAAAAAGAAAAAAAAAAATGAAATTCGAAAAAAAAAAAAAAAAAAACACCCTCACGCAGGAGGACGGGGGGAGAGAGAGAGTGTGTGGGGGAGAGAGAGAGAGAGAGAGAGAAAGAGAGAATGAATCTTTCGTTGTTTTGGAGGAAGATTCATTCTCGCACTTCTACACGGGCCACGCCCGTGAGAGGGACAGAGAGAAAGACGGCAAGTTTGCCACGGTGGTCCACGAACACCCTCTCTCTCTCTCTCTCTCTCTCTCTCTCTCTCTCTCTCTCTCTCTCTCTCTCTCTCTCTCTCTCTCTCTCTCTCTCTCTCTCTCTCT